TCATGTGACTGGGTGGTCGGATTGGGCACTCCATTGATCATGTGGTAGACACAGTCAAGTCTGCTGTGTAGCTGGTGTTAACTTGTGACAGGTCCAAGTATCCACTTAGATAGACCAATATGAAGGTGGGTGCTTCAGTATCCAGTTATAGGTTGACTCATATAGGACTTATGTAGCAAAAGTAAATATGTTCAGATAAAACTGTGACAGTTACCTAGGTTTCGAAGGTCGCAGTTCACGGGTATCTTCGGGTATGCTATTATTAGTTTCTCTCAAGTCTTGGATCGAGGTTATTATATTTGGGTATCATTGAATAGATAATCATGCTTCTGGGCCTATCCTGGGTGAGCAGAAGTTGTCGTAATAGAAATGATCACCTCATCGGCGCCTTGTTGTTATTCAATGATATTCTCTTTTCCTGTGCCCCGGGACATTGCCTATGTCTGCGTGGCCGAGAATAATGGTATCCAAGAAACTGTCTTGGCACTTCTGATTTGATCGACCAGTTTATCACGGGTCAATGAAGAACATATTTAACGAAATATAACCCTTGGACTGCACGGTCATGCATAATAAAGTGGTAACCTATCTGCTGAAGCTAGGCACCAAATAACTAAAACTCCGAAGTTGTTCCTTATAATGGTGCCTACGGCAGCCAAGGCTTCGAAGGTGGAAGTTGTTCCCTCTAATGGTGCCTACAGCAGCCAGGGCTGCCAACTAAACTGATTCTGTTTATCTGGCTCAAACACCACTGAGCAGAATAAGAATAAAAAGGGTTGATGGAATTAAGTACAAGGACCCTTGAAGATCCCTGCCAAGCTCCACTCGGCTGCATCCACAGTGTCATCATAAAGACCCCATCATTTAATGCTATAAATCAAAAGGCTTTATGATTAGTTATTGCTTGGTACTTCTTTGAGCATGTTATCATGGGCACAGTACTTCTTCAGCCATGTTATCATTATGGATTGGAGCAGTTCTCCACTCACAGATCAGTCCTGACCCTCGATCCACTTGATTCACTCCCTTGCCAATTGTCTTGGTTCTGAGGTTGCAGATAGAAAACCTTTGGCTGGGCACCAGGGCGATGGACCCTTTCTTGAATCTTCGAGCCATCCGTGGTTATTCAAAGGCATTGTATCTGGAACCGGTGCCATGTTGCATTCTCCACCGATTGAGACCTGGAGCTTACAGTAGTCTGGTGCCTTAGTGGTTGTACTGAGGATACTGATTTGTCATCAGATTGTCTCATGCTGTGATTGTGAGTACTCGGCTAGCTGTGAAAGGACAGCAAACAATCAAGTGGGATGAAGGGAAACAGTGCGAGGAAGGTCTGCATCTAGAGGCAACACAAGAGCCAAATGTAAAAGATGGTGAAGAAATGGATCAACAGGGCAGCCACATAGAGTGTATGAGCTGGGGTAATGTATACAAGATATGTGCAATAGAATGGTTCTGGAGTGAGTCTAATGACTTCCGGACGGAGTACAGGAATCTCAGGAGATGGGTGTATCATCTCAGTGGCAATGTCCCGGTGGTCGGTCAAGTGCGTTCGACAGTGAGAGCAAAGAACTTGATTAGACTGAGAAGTAAAAGCAGTAGGTTGTGAAGGAGAGGGAGACCACTGTCTCTGTGCATCACTGTGCAAGCCTCTTCACATACTCTAGCCCATAGATACGCCATTCGAGGTCCTCCTTCAACCTCCTAACTATGCTACCCTTCTATACTGCATTCTCAGGGCATGTTTACCTGAGACTCAATCACCCATCGGACCACGCTTGGTCCTGTTACTCATTACCTCACTTCACTCATCTCGTTTCAAATCCCTTGGAGGGCACACTGCTGTGGATCACCCCGTCACATCTTGTTCTGATTCCTTAAAGGGCCTGCCACTGTGGACCACCCCATTGCATCTCTTTTCAAATTCCTTAACTCCTACTCACCCGTGTTGCACTCCCCTCATTGCAGTTTCTGAGAGCCTGCCCCAGCAGTCATCCCGTACTGCAAAAATCCCCTTGTTTCTGTTCTGAAGGTACTCTGTCTGCTCTTCAGACACCTCACCTGTGCTGCTCCAATGGTTTCAGCTGATTCTTGGCCCATGCCCCTGCACCAGGTGCCCTCTGCTTCATCTCAGATGTGGTCTCCCATCAGTTCCTCATCCAGTCTACAGTTACGATCCTCGAACACATCCACCAACCTAACCACCTGTCTTTCCATTTTCTCAGGACTTGCAGCCTTTCACCCACCTCACTGTCTGCCATGTCACACACATCAAACACTACTCTTGATGAACCTGGATCAGCCTATACCTTGCAGATCTACTGGTTCCTTCTCTTCCTTGAAGCCCTGTCCATCAAGCATGTATATGTCCTGACCAGTGTCACAGTATTAAGTGGCACCTTTCTTTTTGCACCAATAAAGTCATCATTCAGCAACCACAAGTGGTTATTCAGATGCCAACCTTCATATTGGTCTCACAAAGTGGATACTTAGACAAACAGCACAATACCACCACATACATCGTGGATATGACTGTGTCTACCACATGACCACCAAGCGCCCATGATTCAGCCACCCAGTCACGTGACACTGGCCACTTTCCCTATTCAGAAGTTATCAGATGTTGGTCATGTGACACCAGGCCACTTGCCCAAAATGAAACTCTTTGGCCCACAATAGGCTTACCTGTGCTCATTGGACCATCAAGCTAGCAAGCACCCAATTCGCTGCTCAATAGCAGCACCAACTACATGGCTGCCAAATAGTAGCACCAGCATTAGAATATGCACTATGGCAAAACCCCCATTGGCCACTCAATAAGTGGCACCACTTCAGCTACTCAAATAGTGGCACCACCTTCAGACAATTATCTCATTGGGTAAAGTAGGATTACCTTGGCGTATCCACGGCCTTTATAGATAGTTGCTATAGCAAAGTCCACAACCATTACTGGTTTTGGCAATATGTTCACATGTAGACAGGACAGGACCCCAGTAAGTATACCATAGTTAGGGTACCCAGGATCCACCACTACATGTATATAAGCACATAAGGATCTAAGGGAAGACCTTAGATTCATTTACCTATTTCATGTGGCCTAACAGCCAATTCACCCCCTTGTTGTGAGCATAAGGCTAAGGGCCCTTTGAGCCCCTTTTTTAGGCTGCATGTTACTGCATGCCTGGTTTGACCCTACCTGGGCAAACCCCTTTTTTGTGCAGGTCACTGGATGCTAACAAGCACCTTGCTGCCATTTTCTTGCCTTTGAGCACAGGATCTAATGTGCCATGACAACCAGATCACATCCTGCTGTGGTTGAGTGGAATGAGTGGCACCACTAAGTCCAATCCCTCCTAGTATGTGTTCCACTCCTTTTCTTCTTGTGTATTCATGTTGACTCCTCCATCCAGAAACTTGCTGATGCTGCTCACTTGGAGTTGGCATGGTCTGAAATGCAGCTGCCTCCAACTGATTCCTTTGGGTGGGTCAGTGACCTCCATGCCCTCACCGCTTCACCCTTGTCACATGACCACCAGTCAGTATTGGCCCTCTTGGATCAGCTTCTGTCATTGCCTCCTCAGTCACTAAACAATGTGTTCCGTTCCAATGCACCCCCTGTCCGGAGTGGTAATACCTGCTTCGTCCTGTACCAGGCAACCTTCGCTTGCCATCCATGCCCCTGCTTCCAAGTTGCAGGATGATGATCCGGACCATACACTGCACCCGGAGGACTTTGCTGGAGATGACAGTTGGTTTTGAGGTCATATGCTGAGGCTCGTAGTGCATCGTTCATGTAGACCATCTGTACTCCTGTGTCGATGTACCTGTTCTGCCCCGGACTCGATTGAATGTACCAGTCCCATCTTGACCTTGCTGCCATACATTCGGGGAGTCAATTCATAGTGAGGGCAGCTGTGCTGGCCACCTCACAGTGCCTTGGCTTGATTACCATCCCCTGCCCAGTGTCATGAGGTTCCTTGAGGGTGGATGCTTCTTGCATGAGCTCGAAGTGCCTGACCAGGCATAGTCTTCTTCAGCCAACTTGCTAGTGCTAGCTACTTATAACTGTGAAGGCAATCTAGAGCAGTCCACAGTCACAGGAGGGTCTTAACAGCCTTTGATTATTTTGCTGCCAGTGTCCAACAACTCATGAGGATCTTCTAGTACCCTGATCCATCAGTTATTCCAACTGAGTGTTCTGACAGTTCATTCTGCCACTAAGTGCTATTTACTACATGGCTATGAATAACTAATCCCCTAACAAGTCAGGTTAGCAGGGGGATGAAGCCTGCACCTGGTGCCACTTTAGCACTGAGCAGGTGTTTTAGTCCCTCAACACTCGAGGTTACGCAGGTCACGCTTTATCAGCAGTCCAGATGATTGCTGTCCTATAGCATTGAATGGAAGCCCTTTGTCCATGGAGCTCATATGTTGAGATAGCTATCTCACTGAGTTGCCTGGGTGAGACTTAAAAAGATCTTCAGAGGTCTAGCTTTCGCTATTAGACAGTAAACTGTCTGGTATCATGGCGGCCATGCCAAGGATAGTTTTTATGATCTTGGCAGCTCTACCGTCAGGGTGGCCCATTGCACTTTAGCTGTGGAGCTCTGTAGTGGTACCCTTCTAAGGAGTACTGCAACCCTTCACCTGGGCTCATTGAACTGTCATAAGGCTGAAGCCCTCTGTGCTCTGATGGGTTTTAACTGCCAAGTTCTGTGGAGTCCTCTTATGCCAGAGGTCTCAGCAAGGTTTGCGACACATTCTGTGCTGACTTTTGTAGAGGCTTGTTTATTCTGACCTGTCATGCATTCATTTATTTCATTGGAGTGGCACCCCTATCCTGCCTCACTGCTTAAGGGCTCTGGAAATCTCTTTGTTTGTTTTTGCCCTAATGCAAGGTGGACGGTGCCCTTAAATTGCCTTCATCACTCCAGCCTGGGGGGTGGACCCATGGGTTGGCTTTGTTTTTGCATGGCTGCCTGCCTACTGCAGAGAAGATCCTACTCCTGGGGGTCCTCCAGCACTGCCTGTGTTTATCAGGGGGTAATGCTCACTGGGGCTGCCTGCCTTGTTCCGACGAGTGGGAGTGGTCATGATGACTGGTCTTGGGGCCCTCATTGGGCAGTATTGTGGGCTTGGGCCTATGAATGGCCTGCTGGGGTAGTCGTCAATGTCAGAGCCAGCATCCTGCTGATTGTTCAGAGCATCAAGAGTGTCATTGGCAGATCCTGCCTGCATGGTGCCAAGTGCCCAATGTCACCAGTTCTTGATTTATCGATAAAGGGAAAGGGAAAGGGGTGCGTGAAGTGGCAAAGAAGGGTGGATGCAATGAACTAGCAATCATGAAGAAGAGGGTATGATGGTTGCTAATGAGAAGTCCAGGCTGAGGCGGTGACCAGTGTTCACAGTCCTAAGGGAGTAGTTTCAAGTTATGTTATAGATCCAAAGAACCTGCACAATCCACTCTCACCTGACCTGCCAGAGTCCTTTGGCTCAAGTAGAAGGGGTGAAGATCTAACTCGAAACTGGGGAGTAGGCCCCAGCTCGAGCCAGTATATATATTAGTGGAGTAGGACCCCTGGTACTGGGGAGAAGCCCAGTGGTACCCTAATACACAAGATTAGGCCATAGTGGTGTGCTATGGTGTGCTATAATGTAGCTAAGTCCAGACGATTTCATAAGAGCCTTGGTGCTACTACATGGTCTAGATTTATGATGTCACTATGATGTAGGGTCATGTAACTGATACATGTTCGAGGGATGTCCGAATGTTCCTGTGGTGTGGGCATCCTACAGTATGAGAGCCATGTGGTAAGTCCTCATATAGTAAGGGTATATGGTGAAGTGATCCAGGCATCCTATTCTTGGAGCACCTAGAAGGTGGTTACAAATGATGATCGTAACACTATGGCTGGCTTGCACCTGTGGTGACAAAGGACTTTTGCACGATGGTGATCCTTGACAACATACATCTTTCGACTTTCCATCTTTCTTCTCTGACAACTTTCATCTGACTGCCCTTCTGTACCCTACTCCTACTGTCACAATGTCACAGCACTAGCTGGGCACAAGATCCAAAAGACCAAAAAAGGACAGTCATGTGATGTGCTGCCCTGTCCCCCAGAACCCTAGCTGGCTGTTTAAGTCAAAAGCCAAAAGTGACTTACTGATGAGGAGCACACAGGAAAGGTGATGAGAAATATAATGGAGCTGATTAGGCTCAGTGGAGTGGCTACTATGGTAGATGAGGAGAAACAATCTGAGGTTTTGTTCTCTACATGGTTGGTCTTATATACACATACAGGAGCCTAATTACATAACCTTCATCATACCACTACTACCAAATAGATGATTGGCTATCTTTGTATCTAGGCAACTATACTATATGTGGAACAATAGGTGGGACGATCTATCCTAAACTAGAATAATAAGTGGGAAGATCGGTCTTCATCTGTAACAATGGTGAGACAACTGTTCTCATTGTGGCAATGGCTAAACTATTAGCAGATTGCTAAAATGATTCTCAACAATAGTCCTTGATCTCTTTGTTCTCAAATGGGTGCCACTATTGTATCCTGAAATAAACTGATCTGAAACTATCATCTGAGGATCCGGATCTGAACATGTGATGTGAACTATCACTTGATCACTACACGTCTGTGGCATGTGATGCCTCGTGACATGTGAAATGTCACATGAGGACATGTGGTGAAGAAATACAGTGACACTACCCCCCTCTCAAGACTCATCGTCTCGAGAAGCCAAAATTTTTTGATTCTCTCATAGTTGATCGCAGTGGTCTGTAGTTATTGGAAGGGAGCCCTTTAGCACAGTGCTCAAAAATGATTTAGACAATCTTGTTTCCTACTGCAACTGTATGTACGAAGTCCATATTGTTAATTAACATGACCTTGAGTTCCTGTTATGAAGTGTTCTTTGTCAACCTTCAATCCTGTGTGCTTTCTCACATGGACTAGCCCATGTTTCAATGGGTGAGACCTGGGTATATAGGCAATACCGAGTCCCCGATAGTCAACCCTGACTATAACTGTTGTTTATAGTGAATTCAGTGATCAGTATCACAGTATTTCTTCACCACATGTTCTCACGTGTCACGTTTCACCAGACAACCTATATATGGAACATAGATACACTTAGTTTACATTTATCATTTCATTTCATCTTATATATCATGTGACAGATCGGCCATCAGCCTTACTATATATATAAACACATCACGTGACTCAGCCATTGGCCATCGGCCCCGACACTGACCCTGACTAAGTCGCTCAGTCAGCTTATCTCGGCTTCAGTCATCCACACCAAATGACTCAGGTAGCACCATCCAGAGCTCCGTCATGCTGCACTATTCATAGGCACCAATCATATTATCAGAAACACATCGTACGATGATAATGCTAGCCAATGGGCACTGTGGAAGGTACTTATGTAAGTACTATACAGTAGCATTCCTCACATGTATATAAGACCAGGGTGGATGGGAGACAGACCTCAGTCTTATTCTCCTTCATCCACCGTAACAGCTACTACAGGCCTAACAAGCCTAATACATCTATTCACATCACATAGCCTCGCTCGCCACCCAGCTCTGCCACATAAACCAGTTAGTATAAGTGTCAACTGAAGAGGCTTGCTCATCGACAGACTTGTCGTACAGACCATTCGGTCTTTTACTTCAGAGTAACCTTTGAGGGACTGGGGTTTTAGTTTGTCTATCTTTGTCTACGATGATCCATGACATTAAAATAAGACTGAACTTTTGTTGCCCCCGCTAGTGTCCAACACTAGTGGCCGCTTCTTTTCAGTGCAAGCAGTTTCAGCTGTAGTGTGTGGCTTTTTTGACACATTCATACATACATCAACCTCTATCAGGCATGAGCCTCAGCAAGACTCTGAGAAGCCCAAGGCACTCAAGCACAAGGCCATCCCAAGAATCGATCTCGCCACACAAGACAAGCGGCAGAGAACCAACAAGGAGCGAGGAAGGCTCTTTGCTATCACATCCCTAGATGCATCTTCTACAGATCACCAGTGCACAGCAGCTTGGGTCATAGACACAACCCACATCATGCAACGAGGAATCATCAGACGTCCTCGCAGTCACACCCTGCTGCTTGAACGCTACTGACCTAAAGCAGGTCATCTCACTACCAGTGATCGCAAGCCAGCACCACCTCCAGAACTCATCACCTCAAATGCAGTCCCTCCCCCCATCATCGCTCCCATTGCAGTTCGGCCCCTACTGAACTTTGTAAAGAAGAACACGGTCACCAGACCCATATGCCCACTCCCATCCAGAGTCAGGCCAACGCTCCACCACGAGACACTCACAAAGCAAGTAGACGCAACTTGCTTCAGACCTCAGCCTCTACTACAAGGCTTCAAGGATCATCTTGACGACTATCAGTTCGACTGGGTCTATCACTTGACAAGAGAGTTAGACACAGCCAGTGTGCACCTACACAGTGGGATGCACACTTTCACATTCATCAAGAAGCAAGTAATCAATATGGCCTGTTTAGAGATAGGAAGTGTCAGCTTCAACACCTGGACCTCACATTTATCCGGCCTACTTAGGTTGCCACACGGACCCGGCTTGGCAACCTAAGTAGGCCGGAAAGCACGCTCCCCTCCCACTGCCAGTAGCACCATAGATACCACGGACTGTTTCCTGTTATAGTAAATTATAATTCCATCGCTGAGATAATTATACCTGTGGCTGATCGTGGACGATCGGGAACTGACAAGGTCATCCCTGGTCCCAAAGAGGCTTGTGGCCACCACTCTGGTGTGCCACACTTCTGGGCCGCATCAGGAACTGGTGCTCGCTGCATCAGCATGTGCGCCCATCGCTGCTGACAGCGATGACGATGTTTCCCGCCCCTATACATTATTCTGCATTGTTTTCTTTCACCTTTTTTTCATTCATAGTCTGTATACCTCACCCGATGTGGGCCCACTACATGTTATGGTCGTGAGTCATGGTGTGCATGAGTGCTCACCATCACTGATGGCGACGAGCATAACTATGACTGTCGAGCTATTGTCGTTGCTGTTGGTGATAATGAGGATGCATTACATACCGCTTATGTTGACTTCAATGCACTTTGTCACACTATAGAGCTGAAGATATGCACATAGAGATAATGAAGCTGACATTTGAGTTACTGAATTACACAAAACAACCCTGTGCCATGGAGAAATGAACGGAGCAGGCCTGTACTGTAGTATGCATTACAGCCCCAATCCTCCCTCAAGCTTTTGCAGCTGCTACGGGGCGATGTTCTCCACTCGCACTTGCTTGGCCCCTTTTGTGGCCCTTGCTTGGTTCCCTTGTCAGATCGTGGCTTTCTTGCAGTCTTCACAATTGGTAGTGCAGAGCTGTTAGTCGAGGATACGACATTGATATTGAAGACACTTGTGAATGGCTGCCCAGATGTCTTGCATCATTTGTTGAGTCCAGTGGGAGCACTGGCAGTATGATCAGCAGTGATGGAAGCAGTAGTGATAGGAGCAGCAGCAATGGAGGTGGCAGTGATGAGAGCGGCAGCGACGGGAGCGATGGTGACAGGAGCAGTGGTGATGAGAGCAGGAGTGGCAGTGACGGCAGTAGCGATGGTAATGGCAGCCTCGTTGGTAGTGGAAAGGTTCATGCTCATGACGGAGGGATTGTGGATGTAGTTGCGAGTCTGCACCATGCAGGTGTCAACATTGTCGATGTCGTTGTCATTGTCGTCACCATGCATCTCTGTCATCTTGGCATTGAATCGTGCGGTCTGCCACTGCTCAAACTCCTCATTGGATAAGTATTTCCAGTACATTGCACCTGATTCCCATGCACGAAGGAGAAGCTCGAGCTCTGTCTTGGAGCCAACATCACTAGGGCAGCAGAACTTTTTGAGAGGGTAATTGACAATCGTTAGGTGGTACTTGGCTGTCATAACATCTTCGAAGTTCTAGTAGATTATGCGCTTGATGGGGATGGGTGGTATCTCATCTTGTGCACATCAGCCAATGCTCAGAATATAGATAGAGAACTTACTAGCTTTTGCGAGGACAATCTCGGAGAGCCTTGCCTTTAGATGAAGTGTTTGTTGCACATGATTACCAATGAAGCCTGCATGAATGCTATCAGAACACAGCAAGATATGCGATCAGGATGTGACACACCTTCTATTCCGGAGATCACAAAACCCTCCATCTGCACTGCATAGTTAGCAATTGAAGTCTTTGTCATCATCTCCAGGTAGTCTGCGAGGCGCTGATTGCTGTAAAATATGAGAGGGTTGTTGAAGTGTTCAGAGTTCGTCCGGACTGTCATTAGGAGGCTGTCAACATCAGTACATGCACTAAGAGCCTGCAACTGCTTAATCTCGTTAGCACCATATGCGTATCAAATAATCGGTTACTTACCTCATGCTGAATGCCTGTCAACGTTGCCTGAGCATTTGAAAATGCTCCGAGTGCTACGTTGTGCTTGGTGTACTTTTTCATGTTGCGCTGTGCCTCTAAGTTCTTGTCACGGTCGCACCAGACAAGAGATCAAAAAGACTAAAAAAGGGCAATTACGTGGAACGTGCAGCCCTGATCCTCCTGATCCCAATTGTGGTGCAAGAGCCTAAGACTTACTGGTCAAGGTGGCAGGTGCAGGAATGGGGTAAGAGATATATGGTGGAGCTAGTGAGCTCAGTAGAGTGCTACGATAGTAGACGAGGAGAAACAATCTGAAGTTTTGTCCTCTACATGGCTGGTCTTATATACACATACAGCGGGCTATGTTACCTAAGCTACCTGTCTACAGGTATAAGCTAATGGCCGTACATGAAACAATAGGATGTCCGGAAGTAGAACAATAAGTGGGAAGATCGATGGTTGCCGCAGTAATGCGTGTGCACATCGTGCCTATCTTGGTTTTCCTTTTGTTCTCCGGTGTGAACATCGTGCCTATCTAGGCTTCTGGCTAAACTAATAGGAAGCAGAAGGCCGATGTATTAACAATAGTCCTTGTTCCCTTTGTTCTCAAATGGGTGCCTCTATTGTATCCTGGAATAGACAGGTCCGACCGTATCATACGCGAGTCTGGACCATAACATGTGATGTGGACTATCACCTGATCTCTACGCATCACATCTGTGGCTGAGTGGCATGAGATATTGGTGAAGCACGTGATCTGTGGCGTGAGAAAAGTCACGTGCGGACTTTGTGGCAAAAATCTGTGACACTACCCCCCCCTCTCAAAGCTCATTGTCCCGAGGAGCCAAAACCTTTATTTTCCCTTCTAGTTGCTCGCAACGGTTGGTAACTCCGGGAGGGAAGCCCTTCGATGTAATACTCGAAGATTATCTGGGCTATCCGGTCTCCTGGTTTGACCAAAAAGACAAAATCCGTTGTGTTAATCAGTACGACCTTGAGTTCTCCAGTGTAATCAGGGTCAACGACTCCTGCGCCCACATCAATTCCTCATGCAGCAAGTCCATTGCATGGAGCTATTCATGTGTAGGTATGTTTGGGAGGGTCAATTGTGACTCCCATTCCTACCACAGCTCGTGAATGCGGAGGGATTTCGTGCATTTCTGCTGCATAAATATCCCATCCTGCTGCTTCATTTGAGGATTTTTTCAGTGATTTGGCGAGGTCCGTCATTTTATGATAAAGGAAGAACTCGTCCGGATGGTCAGACATATTGATTCTGTGTGTGGAGATCGGTGCAACTTCATACAAGGATAATTCGAAGCATTTTCCACCAAAGGTGACGACCCTGATTGGTGCTTTGGCTGCATCTGGGTGTTGCTGGTGAAATTCTTGAAGAAGCTCATCAGCGTTGGTAAGATTTGTTCGGGGTTCCCATGTATCGTCGGAATGGTCATAGCCTTTCCATTTGACGAGGTATTGGACCCTTCCCCTTATGACCTTCGAGTCTAGTATTTCTTCAACTTCAAATTCTGGTTCTCCTTCGATTTCTATAGCTGGGGGCTTTGGGGGTTCACAGTTTGTGACTGTGTCTTGATGGTACATGATCAATTTGCTAGCATGGAAGACCAGGTGGACCTTCATTTGCTTGGGCAGTTCCAGTTTGAATGTGACTGGGCCTAGCTTTTGAAGTACTTTATAAGGTCCGAAGTTTTGTGTGCCTAGCTTCGCGGATTTGACTTTTACTCGGAGGTCTTTTCCCTTGAGTAGTACTAGATCTCTGACTTTGAATGGGACTTCTCCCTTTTTCTCATCAAAATACCATTTCATCCGTGAAGCTGAAACTTCCAATGCTGCCTTTGCCTGTTCTTGTGCCTCGGAGCGGTGGGCAAATAGATGTTCCAAAGAGGGATGATGTATTGATTCGTGTATGTCTGGTGCCATTTTTGGATGTCGGCCATATTCGACGAAGAATGGGGAAAGTGCGGTGGACTCATGGGTCTGATTATTGTATGAGAATTCTGCCATTGGCAGGTAATAGACCCAATCATTTTGCCTGTGGTTACAGTACATGTGGAGATACTGTTCCAACACCTGGTTAACCCTTTCTGTCTGGCCATCTGTCTGGGGATGGTATGCTGTAGACATTGTTGACCTTATGCCGAGCTTCTGGCAGAACTCCTGGAATAGTTTGCTTGCAAATTGAGTACCTCTGTCTGAGATAATCTGGCACGGCAATCCATGAAGTTTGAAGACTTCATTATAAAATATGTTAGCGACTTGCGATGACGTGACTGTATCATCCGTTGCATAAAAGTGCGCTCGCTTCATGAGTCTGTCTACGACGACAAGTATTGCCATCTTCTTTTCTCCCCTAAAGTCCGTGGCTGGAGGAATTTGAGTGATGAGATCGACTGTGATGATTTCCCATGATCCTCCTGGTACCTCATTGGGTTGTAATAGTCTGTATGGTTTTTCCCTTGAGTACTTGTTGCGTTGACAACTGTCACAACCTTGTACGTATTGTTTAACCATTACAGACATTCCTGGCCACCAATAATTCCGAGTAATAAGCTCCAACGTCTTGAACCTGCCGGGGTGTCCGGCTGGTAAGGTATCGTGATGGAGTTTTATTAGGTCAAGGCATAGCTGTTGATCCTTGGGGACATAAACCTTTCCGCGATGGAGTAGCAGTCCGTGCTCAAAGTCCCATTCTGTGAGGTTTTTTCCAAATTCGCGCTGTCCTGTAGTCAAAAGCGCACGATAATCCTTGGTCATCGTGTCGTCTGTGAGTGCCTTCTTAATCCTTTCCAGTAGTTGAGCATCATCAACTTCAGATGTGTGAGCGGGTCGAATCGCATTGATAGCGAAAACTTCAGGTTTTAACAGCATTTGATTTAAATTGTCGCTGTCCACCCCCCTCTCATGGTCTGGCCTCCTGGACAGAGGATCGGCACGTAGCATAGTCTTTCCAGGTCGGTGACTAAGTACAAAATTAAAGTGTGTGAGGAATAATGACCAGCATGCTTGGCACCAGGATAATTTCTGTGCCTGACGGAAGTATGTAAGGTTGAGATGGTCTGACCAAATCTCAATGGGTTCTGGATGTCCTTCTAAATAGTGCCGGTATTCTTCTAGTGCCTGAATAATAGCAAGCATCTCTTTGTCGTAAATCTCGTAGTTCTGCTCATGTTCGTTGAGTGACTTAGAGTAGTATGCGACTGGATGCCATAGCTTGTCCTCTCCTAGTTGTTCGAGTACTGCACCAGATGCGTAGTCTGAAGAGTCTGTCTCTAGACGGTATGGTGCAGTGTCGTTGGGGTGTTGTAAGATCAGGGCTGAGATGAACGCCATTTTGAGTGCACTGAAGGCTTGGTCTTGCTCTTCCTTCCATTGCCAGGGCACGTCCTTACAGGTGAGAAGTGTTAAGGGTCGTGCGAGTTTTGCAAAGTCCTTTATAAATCGCCTGTAGAAATTCACGAATCCTAAAAAGGCCTGTACTTGTTTGACCTTAGTAGGAGCGGGCCAGCCAAGTACACCTTCAACTTTAGCAGGGTCCATCTGTACCGAGTTCTTGCTGATGATCATGCCAAGATACTCGATCGAGGACTGTTCAAAGAAGCATTTCTCCAGTTTGGCATATAAGTCATTGTCCCAGAGGCACTGTAGAACTGCTTTTACTAGTCGTCGGTGTTCTTCGAGATCGTCCATAAATATGAGGATGTCGTCTAGGTAGACTACCACCTTTTCAGTGTGAATCAAGTCTTCGAGGACTGTATTCATCATTGTTTGGAAGGTGCTAGGAGCATTGCAGAAACCGAAGTACATTACAGTGGGTTCGAAGAGGCCACAATGTGTGATGAAGGTGGCTTTTTCTTCGTCTCCCTCCCTAATCCTTATGTTGTTGAACCCCCATCTCAGATCAAGCTTCATAAATATACTAGCATATGAGAGTCTGTCGATGAGGTCCGAAATGCGTGGGATGGGGAACTTGTTCTTCTTTGTGACTGCATTGAGGTTCCTGTAGCCTTGTACAAGCCTCAGTGATCCGTCTTTCTTTTTGACGAAGAAGACGGGTGCTGCGGTTGGACTTCTTGATCTTTTGATGTAACCTTTGGCCAACTCTTGGTCTATCCACGTGTCGAGCGAATTTCTTTCCTGTAGGTTCATAGGATATAACTTTGCTGGCGTGGTAACAATGCCTCTGGAACAAGTTCGATTGGATGATCGTAGAGCTTTCTTGTGGGCATTCGTTCCGACTGCTTCTTAGAGAACACATTGCCATACTCATGGAAGTGTTGGGGACATAGGCTGACCAGTAGTCTTTGTCCTGTTCTCCTTTTTGTGGCACTCTATCCTGATTCTTCTTGGTGTCAAGGCCCATAATGGGTGATGCTATGGCTTGTGCATCAGGGTCTTCTGATAATGACACCCATCTGATGAAGCTGTCCATGTCATTCCAGTTGTCACCTAACTCCTGGGAGGTGACGAACTCCATCAGGTCTTCGATGTGGAGGATGTTTGTGTCTTCCAGGTCCTCCTCCTGGATTGCTACCTGTGAGGGTGCACATCTTTGTGGGCACCGGGTGAAATTGACTGTGAGTTTTCCCCAATCCACTTCGGGATTATGCTCCTTGAGGAAACTCATGCCTAGTATAATGTCTTTATGTCCTATATCGGTGACCAAAAGGCTTTGCCTGCTTGTGTGGTTTCCGATGGTTATACTTAGAAGAACCCTTTTCGTAATGGTTCCACCCTTGTTGTGGGATGCATCTGTGTTATAAACCCTGATCTCCTTCTCAAGTGAGATCGTAGCGAGATTGAGTTGATCAACCAGCCATGGATTGATGTAACAAGAATATGCTCCTGAATCGAGGAGCGCCTCAGTCTGGACTTCCCTTACTCCCTGTTTGAGGTGAACAGGTAAATCGATCGCATGTTTTGATGAACCAGTAGATGCAATGTATAAAAAACTTGATACTGGTACATGCGAGAGCGAGTAGGTACTATTACAGTGTCTATGAGAACTCTGGCCAGACCTCAGAGAACCCGCCGAAGAAAATCCTCATCATCTTCTACCTCCGTGATCCTAGCCGCTTCGACAGCTGGTTCCGGTTCTGCCTCCTTTTCCTTTCCCTTCACGTCATAGCTGGCAATGAAAGCACGGACCGCTTCGTATCTCGCCTTGCTGTCGTCAGAGATGCTGGAATTTGTGTCCATTGAAGAAATTGCCCTTGTAGCTTGGCCCCGCTTTGGCATTTCAAATTTGCCTTTGTACTTGGGGTCTGGGCAACGCTGTTTAAATATGAAGGGGTGTTTCCCACATCGTACGCACAACTTCTTTTCCAGCCATCCTTCTTGCTCTTTGGTGAGGGTGGATACTCGATCCACAACCATTGCCTTGGTGTCCTTCAGGGCTCATGGTGTCGATGAGAATGTCATTGTAGTTCTGCGTTGGCCTGCCTTGTCAGCTCTGAACTTGGACTCCAACTGCAGGCATAGGTCGAGATATTCCGGCCATGTGATGGGGTCAGAAATTTCTAGACTGTCTCGTGTGACCATTGCCTTGCGTACGTCCTTGCTTCGATGTTCAGCAATGTAACTGATGAGTGCAGTGTGCCCTAAGTTGGTCTTAGTGGCCCATTGACAGAACTGTTTTGCGAAGGATACCATCGTGGGATACGTCTTGCTGCAGATCTCCTTCAAATGCTGCTGCACATCCTTATCCGGGTCGAGGGTCCTGTAATTCACCTTGAGAATGTCGACAAAGTCTTCCCATGTGCCAAGTGCCTGCCATGCCACTGCCCTTGTTGCGTATTCAGACATATATGTGAATGCGCCACCTTCCAAGTGCAGCAGGGCCGTGGTTATTTTGTGCTCGTCGTCGTTGATCTCATTCCACTGCATCCATATGCCAAGTTGTTGGAGCCAGTCCTTCAGACTTCCTTTGCCCGAGTAGTGTGGAGGTTCAGCAATTTTGATGCGGGGCTTGTGTGATTGGACCGTGCCAGGTGTTTGACCTTGCGTCACAGTGATGCCGCTTGCTTTGAGCGAAGCTAGCTCATGCCACAGCTTGACGTTAGCTGACTTGATTTCCATTATTTCTTTGCCGGTGTCAAGCATTGCCACCTGTGTTCCTGTGAGCTCATCATTTAAAACCGTCATATGCGCATCTTGCACGAGGATCCTATCCTTGAGCTTCCCGATCTCTGTCTGGAGAACTGCCTCCTTGAGCTGGTGTTCGCTCTTGTTGTTTTGGATTAATGATTCGAAGGCTTTCTTGTGCTCGTACAACTTGTTTCTGAGCACATTGTAGACCTTGGCGATTTCAGTAGTGACCGTGAGCTTCATTGCGACAATGACCCATTCGCGAATGTGGTCCGGCACTTCTCCGGGAGCAGACTGTCTGAGAGCATCTTCTAGGTGCTCAAATTGGTGTTCATCAAACTCCCAGATGGGTGAAACATAGGTGGGTACGAGTGATGGTGTCGAGGATGATGGTCCTCTGACTTGCGATGCAGAATCCTGTGGCCCTAGCACAGGTTCAGGCAAATTGTGCTGTGAAGTGCGTGGGGTACTGCCGTCGTGTGCTGACTCGATGTTTGTGTGAAGAATATCATCCATTCTTTGCCTGAACGTGGATGCGTACGCATGATCGGCTCCCTCCATTGTGATATAAAGACATGTAAAATAATATAAAAAGTGCAAGTATCTCACTTTCGAGATAGAGACCAGAGCTTTGGTGATTTCCTGCAGCCTTTCTTCCTTTCCTATCTGCTTGAAACTGATTCCTCCCATCTCCAGACAGACCTTATTGATAACCTGCTTCTCGATGAATGTATATGTGCACATCCCTGTATGTAGGTCAACGCAGACCTTATCGAGTTCTGTGGTGAGGCTAAAAATGGGTCCTTGGTGCTCGTCCTTGAGACGATATGAGAACACTCCTAATATAGGTTGGAGCCTGAAGCAGGTAGCATCTACCTGCTTCGTAAGGGTCTCGATGTGGATCGTTGGCCTGACTCTGGAAGAGAGTGGGCAGATGGGATGTGCAATGGTGTTTGTCTTTATGAAGTTGGGTAGGGGACGAGTTGGGATGGGAGCAATGATGGGGGGAGGAACTGCGTTGGAGGTGATAAGCTCTGGGGGTGGTGCCGGCTTGCGACTACCAGTGGTAAGACATCCCTTTCTGGGCTTGTAGCGTTCGAGTGGTGGGATGCGATCTGTGGCCTGCGGATGATTCCGTGCTTTATGATGTGTGTGGTATCTACAACCCTAGCTGCTGCTCACTGCCTGTCTGTGGACGATGCACCTAGTGACACGAGAGTGAGGAGCCTTTCACACTCCTTGTTGGTTTTCTGACGCTTGTAGTGAGTGTCGAGGTCAATCCTGGGAGTGGCCTTGTGCTTTGGTGCCTTGGGCAGCTCAGAGTCTTGCTGAGGCTCACGCCGGGTAGAGATCGGATTGGAATGTTTGTCAAAAAAAGCCGCACACTACGGCTGAAACTGCTTGCGCTGAAAATACATGGTCACTTGTGTTAGACACTAAGCAGAGGTGCAGAAAATGTCAGATTGTTTCTAATGTCACGGTCACACTGGACAAGAGATCAAAAAGACCAAAAAAGGGCAGTCACGTGGAACGTGCAGCCCTGATCCCCCTGATCCCAATTGTGGCGCAAGAGCCTAAGACTTACTGGTCGAGGTGGCAGATGCAGGAATGGGGTAAGAGATATATGGTGGAGCTAGTGAGCTCAGTAGAGTGCTATGGTAGTAGACGAGGAGAAACAATCTGAAGTTTTGTCCTCTACATGGCTGGTCTTATATACATGTACAGCGGGCTATCTTACCTAAGCTACCTGTCTACGGGTATAAGCTAATGGCCATACATGAAACAATAGGATGTCCGGAAGTAGAACAATAAGTGGGAAGATCGATGGTTGCCACAGTAATGCATGTGCACATCATGCCTATCTTGGTTTCCCTTTTGTTCTCCAGTGTGAACATCGTACCTATCTAGGCTTCTGGCTAAACTAATAGGAAGCGGAAGGCCGATGTATTAACAATAGTCCTTGTTCCCATTGTTCCCAAATGGGTGCCTCTATTGTATTCTGGAATGGCAGGTCCGACCATATCATCCACAAGTCTGGACCATAACATGTGATGTGGACTATCACCTGATCTCTACGCGTCACGTCTGTGGCTGAGTGGTGTGAGATATTGGTGAAGCATGTGATCTGTGGCGTGAAAAAAGTCACGTGCGGACTTTGTGGTGAAAATCTGTGACAGTTCTTCACATCGTCTTCCGTTGTCGCAATTTGTTCCTCTTTCGACATCATGTTCCACATTGATGTGAGGTCACCCATGATATCAGATGCTTTGCATCTGGGGGCACCTGCTGAAAGAGCTGATAACATGCTGACGATGATATCAGTTTCACTGAACAAAGAGGTAAGACTTACCTTCATTACGATGGCGGACTTCACGGTGCTGAAACGTGTTCCAACGATTGACTTTGCGGAGGTTGGGAGTCTTGTGAGGGTGTTGCATAATAAGGCGGTAGTAGTACTCGACAGAGTGGTCCTGGAAGCACTCCTTCAGTGCAATGGCATGCTTCCAGAGCTTTTCACGTGCTTCGTTCAGCACCTGATTGAGCATCTCCTTGTGTTTCCATCATTTTTTGTGCTGCATTGCCTTCTCTATTGGAGTCAGTCTATACACGGTGTGTGATAAATGTGGCTTTCTCTTCATCCCCTTCCCTGACCCTTATGTTGTTGAACCCCCATCTCAGGTCAAGCTTAGTGAAAATACTGGCTTGTGAGCATCTGTCAATGAGGTCCGAAATGTGTGGGATTGGAAACTTGTTCTTCTTAGTTACTGCATTGAGGTTCCTGTAGTCCTGGACTAGCTGTAAGGATCCATCTTTCTTTTTGACAAAGAAGACAGGAGCTGCTGTTGGACTTTTTGATCTCTTAATATAGCCTTCGACCAATTCTTGATTGATTCATATATCAAGCGAAATCCTTTCCTGTAGGTTCATAGGATATAGCTTTGCCAGGTGTGGTAACAATGCTCCTGAGACCAGTTCGATTGGATGATCGTACAGTTTTCAGGTGGGCATTCATTCTAACTGCTTCTTGGAGAACACATTGCCATACTCATGGAAGTGTTTGAGGACATAGGCTGACCAGTAGTCTTTGTCCTGTTCTCCTTTCTGCAGTGTTCTATCCTGACACCTCTTGGTATCAAGACCTATAATCATAGATGCTATGGCTTGTGCATCTGGGTCTTCTGATAATGATACCCATTTGATGAAGCTGTCCATGTCATTCCAGTTGTCACCTAACTCCTGAGAACTGACAAACTCCATCAAATCTTCGATGTGGGGGATGTTTTTGTCTTCCAGGTCCTCCTTCTGGACTGCTATATGTGAGGATATGCATTTGTGTGGGCAACAGGTGGACTCGACTGTAAGCTTTCCCCTATCCACTTCAGGATTGTGCTCCTTAAGGAAGCTCATGCCACGTATGAGGTCTTTGTGACTGACATCAGTAACCAATAGGTTTTGTCTGCTGGTGTGGTTTCTGATGGTAAGTGTAAGAAGAACCCTATTCTTAATAATTCCACCCTTGTTGTGTGATGCATCTGTGTTGTAAACCCTGATTTCTTGTTCAAGTGAGATCATAGCAAAACCTAACCGATCAATCAGCCATGGGTTGATGTAACAAGAATATGTTCCTGAATCAAGGAGCGCCTCAGTCTGGACTTCCCAGTTTCCCTGTTTGAGGTGAACAGGTAAATCAATAGCATGTTTTGATGAACCAGTAGATGCAATGTATAAAAAATCTGATACTGGTACATGTGATTCAAAACCGGTACTATTACATGATATGTGGAGACTCTGGTCAGACCTCAGAGAATCCGTCGGAGAAAATCCTCTTCATGTTCTACTTCTGTGATTTGAGCTGCTTCTACTGCTGGCTCTAGTTTCAGGTCCTTCTCTGTATCCTTGCTGTTGTAATTGGCAAGGAAGGCTCATACTGCATTCTACTTGACATCACGCTATCAGTACTGGATGATGCTGCTGGTGTTGTTATGGCTCTGGCTGTTGTGGACCATTTAGGCATCTCGAATTTGCCTTTGTACTTCGGTTTCAGGCAACGTTGGCTGCATTTGAATGGGTATTTATCACATTTTATGCACAACTTCTTTTCCAGCCAGATTTCCTGCTCCCTGGTGAGCACTGTGAGGTTGTCTACCATCATTGCATCAGGATCTTTCTTGGGATGAGGTGCCAATGAGGTGGTTGTGGTTTCAGGTTGTCCTGCCTTGTCAGCCCTGAACTTCAATTCCAACTGGAGGCATAGGTCGAGATACTCCGGCCAAGTGACTGGGTCAGCGATACCTAGGCTGTCTCGTGTCACCATTGCTTGATGCATGTCCTTGAATCTGTGTTCTGCGATGTAGCCGATAAGTGCTGTGTGGCTCAAGTTGGTCTTGGTGGCCCATTGCTGGAACTTTTCTGCAAAGGATTCTATAGTGGAATACGTCTTATTGCAGATCTCCTTCAAATGCTGCTGCACATCCTTGTCCAGGTCCAAAGTCCTGTAGTTACCTTTGAGGATATCGATGAAGTCCGACCAGATGCCAAGTGATTGGCGTGCTGCTGCCCTTGTTGTGTACTCAGACATGTACGTGAAGGCATCGCCTTCTAGGTGTAGCAGTGCTGTGGTGATCTTGTGTTTGTCTTTATTTATCTCATTCCACTGCATCCATATTCTGAGTTGTTGGAGCCAATCCTCGAGGCTGCCCTTTCCTGAGTAGTGGGGGGATTCAGCAATCTTGATGCGGGGTTTGTAACTTTGACCGGTAGTGTGACCTTGCATCACTATGATGCCGCTTGCTTTTAATGAAGCTAACTCATGTCGTAACTTGGTGTTTTCAGCCTTGGATATCATCATTTCCTTGCCCATGTCCAACATGGCTCCCTGGCTTCCCGTGAGTTCATCGTTGAGTACTGCCATGTGCGCATCTTGCACTTGGACCTTGTCATTGAGCTTTCTGATTTTCATTTGAAGTACTGCTTCTTTTAATCAGTGCTCACTTCAGTTTGACTGGATCACTGAGTCGAAGGCTCTTTTGTGCTCATACATTTTGTTGCTGAGCACATTGTTGACCTTCTTGACTTCGGTGTCGACCATGAGCTTTATGGCGACTATGATCCATTCACGGATGTGATCTGGAACTTCACTGGGGGTGGATTGCCTGAGTGCATCTTCTAGATGCTCAAATTGGTGTCCCTCAAACTCCCATGTGGGAGGGACATAGGCAGGTAATAATGATGGTGTTGGGGATTCGGGTCCTCTGACTTGCGATGCAGAGTCCTGTGGTCCTATTGCAGGCTCAGGTGAGTTGCATTGTGAAGCACGTGGTGTGCTTCTGTCGTGTGTTTCAATATTTGGATGAAGTATGTCCTGCATCTGTTGTCTGAACGTAGACATTCCAGTGTGACCGAGGTTGAACATTGTCTTAGAGGGTGTTGTTTGCACCTGATAGCAGTGCTAGTTCGATGATGTGGTGTCTCCTCTTTCGAGTCTTGTCAGTCAGAGATGTAGCTGTTTGGGGTATGTGTCATACCACAGTGAGCAGAAGGCTTCTTCGTCCCTCTGATATAACTGGGCTAAGTGTTCCCAGTATAGTTTTTCTGCCCAATCGTGGACTGGATTGATGATTCTGAAGTCAGTCTAGATGAGGCAAAAGGGTGCATGTAAGGTAACAAGTCTCTCGACTCTTACTAGGTAATGATAGAGTATGAGGGACGAGTGGGACAAAAGCAGTCGATAGATAAAGTATGCTGTGCACACAAGGTGATGCTCGAGGTCTGTGATGTGGTGTTCGATGATGTAATTTCTGAACACGAAATTGGCTTGATAGTGGGGCATACAAAAATATCTTAATACAAAAACTCCAGGTATCTCTTCTTCTGGATACCAATCAATGCCTTGACTATTTCCTGTAGCCTTTCTTTCTTTCCTATCTGCTTGAAGCTAACGCTTCCTATCTCCAAGCAAACTGTGTTGATAACTTGTTTCTCGATGAATGTGTATAAGCATGTCCTGGTGTGTAGGTCTGCACAGACCTTGTCTAGCTTAGATGCTAGAATGTGGAGTGGACCATGCTGGTTGTCCTTGAGACAGTATGCAAATGTGACAAGTATAGGCTAGAGCCTGAAGCATGTGGCGTCTACTTGTTTGATAAGTGTCCTAAGGTGTAGTATTGGCCTGACTCTGGGTGAGAGCAGATGAATGGGTCAAGTAACTGTGTTGTTCTTTACAAAGTTTAGGAGGGGCCAAATTGGCTTTGGAGCGACGATGGGGGGAGGAACGGCATTGGATGTGATGAGTTCTGAAGGTGGTGCTGGCTTGCGATCACCGATGGTGAGACATCCTCGTTTCGGCTTGTAGTGTTCGAGTGGCGGGGTGTGACTACAAGGCTGATAGATGATTCTGTGCTGTATGATGTGTGTGGTGTCTACAACCCTTGCTGCTGCAGCTGTATGTCTGTGGAGGATATGCCTAAAAATGCAAGTGTGAGGAGCCTTCCATTCTTCTTGTTGGTTTCTTGATGCTTGTAGTGAGCGTCGGGGTCAATCCTAGGTGTGGCCTTGCACTTGGCTGCCTTGGACTCCTCAGAGTCTTGCTGAGGCTCATGCCTGATAGATATCAGATTGGAATGTGTGTCAAAAAAGCTGCATGCTATGGCTGAAATTGCTTGCACTGAAAATATGCAGCCACTTGTGTTAAACACTAAGCAGGGGTGCAGAAAATGTCAGATTGTTTCTAATGTCACAGCGCTAGCTGGGCACAAGATCCAAGAGACCAAAAAAGGACAGTCACGTGCTGTGCTGCCCTGTTTCCCAGAACCCTAGCTGGCTGCCTGAGCCAAAAGTGACTCACTGATGAGGAGCACACAGGAAAGGTGATGAGAAATATAATGGAGCTGGTTAGGCTCAGTAGAGTGGCTACTATGGTAGATGAGGAGAAACAATCTGAGGTTTTGTTCTCTACATGATTGGTCTTATATACACATACAGGAGCCTAATTACATAACCTTCATCATACCACTACTACCAAATAGATGATTGGCTATCTTCATATCTAGGCAACTATACTATATGTGGAACAATAGGTGGGATGATCTATCCTAAACTAGAACAATAAGTGAGGAGACCGGTCTTAATTGGTAACAATGGTGAAATGACCGTTTCCATCATGGCAATGGCTAAACTATTAGCAGATTGCTAAGATGATCCTCAACAATAGTCCTTGATCCCTTTGTTTCCAAACGGGTGTCGCTATTGTATCCTAGAATAGACTGATCTGAAACTATCATCCGAGGATCCAGATCTAAACATGTGATGTGGACTATCACCTGATTGCTACGTGTCTGTGGTGTGAAATCCTAGGTGAAGCACGTGATGCCTTTGTGGCATGTGAAATGTCATGTGAGGACATGTGGTGAAGAAATACTGTGACATACAAACTCCATGATCTACAGTGAAGGTGTCATCTCCAGTTCACCTAAAAATTCAGATGGCTTCAGCATTGTCTGCCTGACAATTGAACTGCCACCGGACAATCTGTTATGAAGCATTCCCTGCTAGAACATTCAGAACCACGTGTGCTTTCTCACATGTACTAGTCCACAACGTGGACAGAAACTTAGATACCAAATATACCTAACGTCTCCAATAGTCAGGCAGACTATTAGCAGGGTTTATAGTGTGGTCAAGCCTAGTAGACGATGTAGCAGTGAGGTCCTCACTCTACCCTTGCTAGGCCTTGGC